AGACAGATGTCAAAATGTCCCGAGTCTTTGTGAAAGACATTAAGACGAGTTAAGACGAGACTCAGTTGATCCAGTGGATCACAGCGAAGCCCAGCTCTGACTCGGTGTCATACGTCTGAAGACCTTTTCTCCAGATAAATCCAGTCCATTAGCCCGGTGCCTCCTCCCTGCTCATCCAACACCTGCTCTTTTGTCTTCAAAGTCACCTGCCTCCCTATCTGCCCCAGCATCCTGCCCTCCTCGCTGCCAGGAGCAGCAGCCAGCTCTCCATCCTCCCCGCCAAGTCTCCTCCTGTTTCCTCCCTGTATTTCAGTGTGGAGCTCCAACCTGCCCGGGGGTTTGTTTATGAAATAAAATACAGCTGCCATAAAAAGAATTCATTCAAAGCCACCAGCCTGTAGGTGGCAGTAGGCAGAAGATGGTGAACATTAAGGCTTGTCAGTACAAAGGTGAACGGTGACGTCAGATGAGAGAGCATCACTTGGCTTGACAACGCCACGAGTGGAGAGATACTGCAGTACTTCAAACATGCAGTACCTCTTCAACCTACGACATGGTACAGTCCCAGGGACAACAGAGCTAACGTTAGCTAAACACTTCTGGTACAAACGGTGAAGTCAACCAACTAAGATCAGCGCTAATATATATATAAATATATATTTATAAATACATTTTTACCACAAATATTAAACTATGGACATTTTATCACACATTTCAAAAATTCAAATTTATTTGCCTTGCTATGCCGAACAAACAATATATATCATGCCTACTAGAGGGCCCGCCCCCCACTTTGGGAACCAGAATGAACTCCCACTCCTCCTCCTCCTCCTCCTCTTCCTCCTGCATCTCCCTGCCTTGACATTAGCTGCAGAACACGCTTCATTCTTGGAGACATTTGTGATTTTTTTAAGTGCATTTCCTTAAAAGCCTTTTCAACATCAGAGAAAAAAGCTTCACTGAGTAGAATTCACTCCAGCAGGTGAAGCCCGGCTGCACCGAGGGGAACCAGGAGCCACGGTCCTTGGCTCTCTTTCATGGTTCTGAATTGAGATTTCCGGTTGAAAGCAGAAATGGGAAATAATGCATTCCCGCTGTACTGCATGTATGTGTTGACCTCCGCAGAGTACACAGAGAGTACACAGAGAGTACACATCCACACTTCAACGCACACAAAGCAACGGTTTGATACTTGAATTTGTTTGGCTGAAAACCCCAAACAACCTGTGGCTCCAATCAAAAATATATATAAATATATACACATATATTTATGCATAACACATGACTAATATATGACTTGATTTATTGTTCTCCAGATTCTCTCCGTTTAATCAGGTTAAATCGCAGCAAACATCCCATTTCTGGAAACCTGTGAATATTTGTCCAGTTTGGAAACAATAAAACACTTCAACCAAACACAGCAGGAAAATCAATCTAAAAAAAAATCAACATTTCATGACAGCTAGCCTCATTAGCGTTAACCTTTAGAAATGTGACAGCACACCTTTTAGAAACAGCCACAGAGCATCAGCAGCGTTAACGCTTTCACACAAGACGGAGAAAATACACACTTCAGTACTGCAGTAAACAAACGGCCCTGACCTGCAAACCCAACACTTCAAATTATCAACCAATACGGATTAGATCATCCCAGGAAGCGTGCGTACAGTGGCTGCAGCTGATGACTCCAGCGGCTAAATTAGCAGCACCTACAGTTTTGTACGTTCATCCAAATATTTTGCCAAAAAAAAGTCTTATTTGTCATATTTCACCTGAAGCGGGGCAACAGGAGAAGCAGCAGTGCGTGCTCCCTGACTGGCTCGTCTCTCCAGACACTATTTAAATTACTGTGGCCTCAGCAAGTCCTGTTGAAAAACTGGAGGTAATTGGGGCTTTAATTGTTCCCGTAAAGTCGGGGAAGAGAAACGGAGAAAAACTGCCCACATGAGCACTCTGATCAAAAAGGAACCACTGGTGCAGCCGTTTGAAGGAAGTCGTTTCAGACAAGTATTCTACGGAGAATCTCCTTATCTTTAGACCAGACCTGGGCAACCTACGGCCCGGGGCCCAGATACGGCCCGCTAGGGTTTCTAAGACTGGGTATTAAATCCAGAGTGAAGTTACTGTGTACACGGTACGTGGATACGGCCCGCTAGGGTTTCTAAGACTAAGTTACTGTGTACACACTACGCATCATTCTGACCATCTCAGCTAAATAAAAAAAAAACTTCCAATTTTTTTTTTTTGACTTTGTTCAAAAAGCCTGTGTTTAATGAACACAGCTGTATAGGACGTCCAATCACAGGGATTAGGTGACAGTGTTAGTGGAATGAATGCTTATTCGTCAACGGAGCTTCCTCCAAGTCGGCAGATTTTTATACTTTCAGTTGCTTAAGAAACAACTCTGGAGTCCATTAAACATGCTGACATATGGAAGGGAGGAGGCACCGGGGGCGTCTTCAGCAGAACGGAGCAGAGTCATTACCTTACCTGCCTTAATGGCCGCTTCACACACACAAAAGAGTTGCCCACGGAGGGCAACAAAGTTCTGCCTGTGCATATTTTATGACAAAGATGAAAGTCAGTGAGTGGAATCCTCAAGAAGATTGACCCAAAAAAAAACAACACATGAGGATCTGCTGGATTTAGACGCCCCATTTCTGTGTTTGAAGAATTCCACGTTGTACCTGCGTCGGACCTGATCCTGGTGTCTGCGCTTTGTTTATTAGGAAACAAATGAGACACGGCCTCGGAGATAAACCTGTGTGGTTAGCATGACTAAAATAGGAGGACATCGATTATCTTTATTTTTGGTGCGTGGGTGTGGAGCGTCAGAGGAATGACGGCGTTAGAACTCACGGAGACGGGAGCGAAAAGAAGAGTTCGGCAAAACAAAAGGAAGACGGGGAAGAAACGTCTCTGATGACAAACGCAGTCAGACATGGGCATAAAAATAATAATAAGAATAATAATATCATCTATCTAAAAATATATATATATAATATTTCAGCCTGGGTTCAATAAAGTACATCTATCTATAATACTAATACTACTACTACTAACAATAATAATAAAATGTTTTTGTTTCTCTCATCTGTCACAGGAATCATCCAGACCAGTTCAGACCAGTGAAACAGGAAGTACACAGAGACAGTCGGAGCGTGTGATTGGACGGAGAGACCCACAGATGTAGATGTGACTTCACAGCCGCTCCTCATTCACACTGGAGGGATAATATGTCCTATAATGAAAAAGATATTTCCCCAGGGTTTCATTTCACGTTTTTTTTTTTTTTAGCGTATCCGTGTTTGCTTGTTCAAAACTCGTTACCGTCCCGAGGTCCTTGAAAGTTTCCTCCCCAGTTTCATTTACAACGCTGTCAACGACTAAATCTCCACGGAGCGTTCAGCAGCTGATATCATTTACATTCAAACGTAAACATATCTGAGCCGCAGCCAGATCAATACTCCATATTGAACACATTTACTGAACATCAATTCCCCCAACACTCATCCAGCTCCAGTCCTGTTAGCAAACAGCTGCTCCGTCCCTCTGGAGCCAATCAAACCTGTTCACCATTTTAGGTTTCCACGTTAACAGATGTTCTGTCGTCATTTAGGTTTTAGAGAAATGATTATTAGATGAATGATTAAATCCTTCTTTTTTGAAAGACACATCGGCCAGAATGTAAAACATGTTTGAAATTTAAAAAAACTGAAGTAATTTTTAGTCTAAGGCCAAACAACATGCCAACAAACCAAGGAAAATATTGTTGAGTTTTCTGATTTATTTTGTACTAAAGAATTTTTTTTTCAAATATTAACTTAAAAAGTTAAAAAATATCTTTAATTTTTTAAGAAAAATTTTTCAAATATTAACTTAAAAAGTTAAGTTAATAATTATATTTAATTTTTTAAGAAAAGAAGATGTCATTAAACATAAACAAGGTTTTTTTTGTCCACCAGTAGTGGGCGACTCACCACGGGTGTTGCTGGAGAGACGCTTGCGTTGGCTGGTGGAGGTGTTGTGCGGCAGCAGGGTGTTCTGCTGGTGGTTGCTGTCGATGGGACTGGTGGCGATGATGTTGTCCTTGTACTTGTTCATCAAGGCCAGCTTGGTGTTGTCGCTCACTGTGCACAGAAATGAAACGCAGCGGCAGAGGTTTAAGAAATAAAACATAAAAAATACATCTGTAAAAATCAGACAAACATTTTCAAAGTTTAACGCAGTCGGATGATTCACCCAGCGACCCTGGAGAGGAGCAGCACATGTTTGGACACATGTCACTGCTGCAGCTAACAGTTAGTTAGTTATATAAAAGCCAGTTCAGGTTAGGACAAACTTCTCCAACACACACAGAGGCCTGTGTTACACTGGATTCTTTTCATCAAATCCAAATTGAACCTCAGTTTGAACCTGGCTCCATCTGATTATTTCCGCCTTTCTCAGGCTGTGACCTGCTGCCAGGATCAGAATCCCATCTGTTTATTGACATCGCTGCAGACACTCATTCAAAAACACAGAATAAAATAAACAGCACCATTAGAGACAAATGAGACAAAGATGCTTCACTTCAGCTGCACTTGACCCTTTGACCTGCACAAACAACAACACGACGTTTACATTTAAATGAAACAGAATTCAAGAAAAAGAGTTTGTTATTTTCATGAAAAATATTTTATTATTATTTCTGATTTGTTCCAGGCTGTTTCTGACTCACTATGGGTTTTTTTTTTTTTTTTACTTCTCCCAGTGGGTCAACAATCACTCTGATAATAGCCTTCACAAAATGGAGCAGGTTTGAATGATCCATTAAAATTGTAATTAACCCTTCTACTGTAGTTTTATGCTGATTACTTTAATCATTCAGCCATCATCTCTCTGCAGTAATAGTCCAAATATTCTGACTGCAGGATTCATTTCTCTTCAATCAAACTGTTCCAGCACCGACGATAAAAACGTCTTCCCAGAGAAGGACAGAGGGTCCAGAAGACTCTGGATCTGTCCACTCACCTGGAGTCAGGTCCATGTTGTTCTTGTCATTACAGCCCTGAAAGGAGTCCAGAGTGTGGGTGACCTGACTGGCGTACTCCTCCCCGCCGTTCATACACTCCCGCTGCAGATGGTGCCGTAGGTCTGTGATGTCGTACTCGTAGCTGTGGGTGACGGGATGGATTAGGATCAGCATCAATTCAACCCTTTATCACTGACGTTGGAGAAAAACATCAAAAGATATCTGGAAACAGATCTGCATCTGCTAGCAGTACGAAAAACCAGAATAAGAACAAGTACATGGGTGTGTAGCCACATTAGCCTTAGCGCTAGGATATAGGTAAAATATGCAACGTTAGAAAAAGTTTTACGTTCAAATACTCGACTTTGGTTGTATAAAAATGCAATGGAACAAAGTTTACAGTCTATAGTCTAAATATATAAATATATATTTAAATAATAAAACATTTAATTTAAATTTTATATTTAAATACATATATTTTCATGTACAGTTTATATATTTATACATCTCTGATTACATGGGGAATGATTCAGGTCAGATACAGAAGGTTCCAGAATAGAACTGATTAGAAGTCAGAACTTGCCGATCGTACCCATCCAGTATGGGCGTCTCTCGGATGCTGAGGGTGCCGCTGTTGGGACCCTGACCCCGCGAGTTCCTCAGACTTTCCCGGGCCTGGCCTCCCATCAGCACCGAGGGGATGTAGTGAATCTCATTGGCCGCCTCGGCGCTGGCGCTCTTCTGGGGTTGAGGGATGCGGCGGCGTTTACACCAGCGCCGGCGGGTATAGAGGATCAGGACCAGACACAGGATGGACAACAGAAGGGCGATCATTCCACCCTGAGGGAGAGAGGATGGCATTTGGAGCAGACACAGAGAGAGAGAGAGAGAGAAAAATGTTAAAAAAAAATATGGAAACAGAGTGGCGGGAGAGAGACGTGATCAAAGGAGAGAACACTTTCGGAGGCCGTTGCCAAGTAGAATATGAATCAAAGTCACGGTCATGAAGCCAAAAGTATCAAATGGAAAACATTTCAGATGTGATTTGGAGAATGAAAGCAACAGTGTATTCAAAGTCAGCAGCTCTCGCCCTGCTATTACACTTTGAAACTCATTTCAGAAAAGTCCAGAGGATCACTGCAAAATCACTGCTGCTAATAAAAAAAAACATTTTTTCTACATGTCCTTCATTTACGTCTGAAAACTTCCTGGAGAAATGAGTAGAAAACCTGGAGTGAGGTTCTCAAACTGTTCAATCAATGCAGTATCAACTACTATCATCAGAGTTGCAGTACAATTAGGTGTTTAATCAAAGGAGCTGCGGCTCAATCCTGATTATTCATAATCAATCATTAATCAATCAACCATGGAGACAAACTTTGTGACTCAAATCAAAACGATGGAAATATTGATTTGGAAAAATGTCAAGAAAACTTTTTTTTTAGTCGTGAGTCAAATAATAGTATAAAAAAAATGTCCACAGTTTAAAACCTGTTCCGGAGCCTCATCAACTGTCATTAGGTTTTCATTTCAGCTCCTAATTCAAAGTTGTTCTTTTTGAACGGTTGAAAGTCCGGATCAAACAAAACCTCGACTGAAATCGACTGACGAAAAGAGAAAAATAAAACTTAACATATTTAATTTGTTCCAATCGACCAAATGACAAACTCTGATCACTGCTAAGAGTTTCTACAAATGCACAGTACTCCAACAGTACTCCAACAGTACTACAGTGCTGTCTTGACGTCCCTGGTACTGATGGTTCCCAAAGTCCCTGCAGTTTGACCGTCCATTGGTCTCTGTGATGGACACGTTGGGACGGCGAGGACAGGGCGAGCCGTACGGCGTAACAGCAGCAGAGGAGGAGGAGGAGGAGGATTTGTGGTGCGGCCTCTTTGAACACAGCTGCTGGAGCAGCTGGAGTCGCTGACAGAGCTGACTGGAGCTGTCAGGGTCTCCTGCAGACACTGGGGGGCTTTCTGTCTCCTCGCCGATCAGCAGTTTTCTCCTCCTCCTCCTCCTCCTCCTCTTCCTCATCCTCTGTAGCCCAGGTAGCATCCTAGGTTAGAGTGTGTCCTCTTGACCAATTTATTCTGTCTCCTTCTGTCTGCAGATGACACATCCACGGGCCCCCACAGACCACAGACCACAGACCACAGGACACTGTCACCATGGCAACACTTCTCAATTTACCACTAATGCTGTTGGGGCTGGATGAGGTGATGCATTATTATCACCAGGTTAACAATTATTAACTATTAACTAACTACAGTACCACACAAATCAAACTGTGATAATAATAATAATAATAATAATATATTCCTTATTGTTATTATTGTTATTATTAGTAGTATTACTAATATATTTACAGAGTTCTGACTGTATTTTTTGTTAAACCGTATTTTCTGTATAAATGCTGCTGTTTCTATCTGGGAGCAGGGACGAAGGGTGAGAGGATGAGAGGGTGGGGGTGGGGGTGTGTCAGTGTGTACTGTGCAGGTGACACACACACACACACACACACACACTACTCTAACTCTAAGGATTCTGTTTTCTTTTTCATAAAAAAGTTTCAACAGGACAATTTTTGTTTTTATTATTGTAAGCAGGAATTCTAAAACACTTGAAAAGTTTGACTTCATTTTTTTCCCCACTCAGTGAAACGACAAGGTCACCCAAAGAAGAAAGCTGTAATAAAATTAGAAGAAAAAAAAAAAATTCAGAATGTAAATGAAGTTACTTTCTGAGGATGAAAACATTTAACAGTTTCACTTAGGGAGGGTTTTTTTTTTTTTTTTTTTTTTCAAACTGACAAACCTAACCTTCTGTCGGCAGAAGTTGTTTGCCTCATTTGCATGGTCAAGGACGTGGGAGAAATGACACAGCACTACTGAGCACTTATGGAGGAAATGCATGGAGGAAATCCATGGTCATTTAATTTCTGATGACGGCAGTTGAACCTTTTCAGGAGGCTGAGGCACTGACACGGTCGTAAAGGAACGCTCTGAGTCAGTTCTTCAGATTTACTCTGTGACTGCTCCCCACAGAAGTCGCCAAGACGGCGCTGTAGCATCGATGCTAACCTTCGTGTAAAGTTTTATCGGCACCTAAAATAAACCGAATCATTCAGTTAACGTCAAATAAGTCAATATATTAGGGCAAACCTGGGGTTCGCAGACCACTAATGGTACGCATGGACATTCCTGGAGGCTCGCAGAGTTAGATAAATGCTGGTTTGTCTAACTTGACTTTTGATGAAGTATCTTTTGAACCTAAAGAATCCAATAAAGGAAGATAATCAACATAAGGCCAGAGGATAAGAGGTTCAATTTGACAACTCTGTTTTCGTCAGTAGCCAATTTGTTAGCCTCGCTGCATCAAATCATCAATTACTTTGATTATATAGTCAATGCCGTGAAATGGAGGCAGAAAAACGCCACTTTCTGAAGTACTTCAAATTGTTCTCAATCAAAATGACCTCAGTGACCAACGCGATTCAAATCCATCAACCTGCATTAGCACCGATGTATAAAGAACAGTGGAAAAAGCAAAACAGTTTAATGTTAGGCATTACCGGGAGTCGGAGTGAGGGCTAAGTGGACTGTGTCCTCTTATCGAGCCAATAAAACCTAACCACATATCAAAGCTTGCCAGCGCTCCGGGCCCATAATCCACTTACTAACGGATGAGGATGATGTTATAATGGCTCCAGAACTCCTTATGACTTACACTCCTGTCAGGCCAGCTCTGAATGGAGGAGAGAAGACATGGCCTTTCGCAGTTTGATAGAACAGACATGGCATTCCAGCCCGGCTATCAATCTGTCACTTAGTCTTCGCTTAGGACGCATTAGGACAAAAGGAAGGACAGAGAGATCAGGACAATCTGACAGCAGCAGATGGCGCACTCACGCATCTTAACTTGGAAAAATCTAAGTTCAAGGGTCGGTCATTTCAAAGGACGGGATTTCAGGGAACGTGAAAATATTACTTATCCAAGTAAAAAATTACTTCTTTGTCTTTTACGGATGTTTTTTGTAACTCTCACCAGGTGGCCATTGTCTGAACTGCAGTTCATGTCATGGCTTCGTTAACACACAGTTAAACAACAAATACAGAAGAATCAAGTGACAGCAGTTGTCAAAACTAAAGAAGGGTTTGAGTCCGTGGTAGAGAAGTGTTTGCTGTCATCAACTGCAGCGTCTCCTCAAACCAGACATGAATGAAGCAAATCTCACCAAAAAAAAAAAAAAAAAAAATGAAAGCAGTCTGTTGCCTCACAAAGTTCTAAGACTGTGTGTGTGTCATTTTTAATTCAGTTAAAGCTACAGAACGTTCCTGGTCGTCGCCACCGTCTGTTCTGACAGGATGAACTCCATGGAACTTTCTTCCTTTAGCTTCAGAGTGCGTTTGTAGTGGAGTCTGTGTCGAATTGAAGGGTTTGACTTTCATTGCTATTAGCAGCCGTTAGCTTGGAGCAGACTATCTACTCACTTCAGTAGAACCTGTCTCCATGATGAATGTGGGGGCGTGAGTCAACTGAAGGAATTAGCATGAGCTAACTGAAAGAACGGACAAAGGACCAGAACTTTATAGAAACTATTTTTGAAACATTCATGGCCAAAACATTTTTCTACCATACCTTCCCTTTTGATAAAAACAGAAAAAAAATACATTAAAAAAAACGAGTTACTTTTGCACTTCAGCCATCTATAAATGATCTTTAAATGATAAATTAATATCCAGCTCCAAACTCTCTGTTCAATATGTTTCTGCACAGGCATTTTAATAACCTTAATCTCCACCAGCACAAACGTCTCAGCGTCAGAGCCAGTGTCATTCCCAGGTTTTGGTTGCACAAATCCCCGACTCATTTTTACGGTTCTTCAGATGTGACTAATTTATTCTGTGTTGGTGCATGAAGGCGGCTGCAATTTACAATTTATCAATAATAGCGTGAAAATAGGAAATGGGTGCCACAAAGGAGGGGAGATAATGGCTTAGGTGTTTGACATGAAAGACAAAAATATTCATTTGCTACTCCTCCTGCTGGTGTGATGGCTTTTTACGCTTGGTTTGAAGTGTCTTGCAGCAGCTATATTACTTTAGGACAAAACAGAGGTGATGTTTCTTTCCTCTAAATTCAGATAAACGGGCGACCAGAAATAAAAATATACTATTTCACGTTAAAAAACCCCATCAGGTTTGATAACTGTTTTAAACAGAGAACATGGACTCTGCTGCAGCCACAGCTGCCTCCACGTCGGCTTTTATTTCTGTTTCCTCCAGCATCTCTGGCTTGGTGGTTATCTGTGTAAGTCGTAAATTGAGGCTAAAAGTCTTTCTGCGTGAGGTAGTGCCCTCTACATTTGTGAAGGACAATAAATCAGACAGACAGTACAGTATGTAACACCACAGGCCCTGTGCAAATCTGATTTATTAACACCACGCCGCCGCCTTTATAAGACACTGGCCTTCCCTCCGAACCTCGGACGTGGAAATAATTCTGTGCCGACGCCGTAACGAGCCGGAGTGACTTTCTGTGCGCTTGCAGGGAAACTGGAGACACAAACCAGGAGGTAAAGAAAAGAAATGTTATTGGACGGCTGCGATAACAAAAAGGCCTGCGTGGAGAACGCCGGAGGTTAATCACAGGGCAGCGACACCAGCGTCTTCTAAGGACACCTGGATTTATATACAGTAGAGTACATATAGATATGGGCCTTCCAGGAGGTCACAAATACCACCAGCTGACACCAAATATATATTTGGAGAACGAGTCAAAAAGTCACTGACTTCACCACAGAACCCCGGTCTCAGTTACGTTAAAATTTGTTGCTA